CCATCCATCCATCCATCCATCCATCCATCCATCCATCCATCCATCCATCCATCCATCCATCCATCCATCCATCCATCTTCTTCCGCTTATCCGGGTAGCAGCTTTAGTAGGAAGGCCCAGATGTCACTCTCCCCAGCCACTTGGGCAGCTACTCCAGGGGAATCCCAAGGCGCTCCCAGGCAAGAGGAGGAACATAAGTCGCTCCAGAGTGTCCCGGGTCTCCCTCTGGGTCTCCTCCTGGGTTTAAATTTGGACTAAACTTAGATGCAGGATCAAAGGAATCAATAAACCATGAAACATGTCAGAAAACTTTATTCAAGTATTGATAAAAGTGAACCTTTTTCAGTTGTTTTACTGTGGTGATGATGTTAAATTGCCAAGGTTTTTGATGTCTAAAACATACTGAATCATTGAAAAGAAACTTATATTGTTTTTAATAGAACAATATTACAGATCATAAGGAGTAGCGAACTATGTTGTCGAATACAAAATTATAAAATGTCCGTTAAATCAGTGTTTCCGAGCAAAACCTCCTAGAAGTTTAATAACTAAAATGATGAGACTACAATTAATAGAAGGAGCTTACAGATCTTAAAAAACTGCGAAATCTGGTTAAATAGCAGAAAACCTGTTCTTGGGCAGAGATCTGCCAGTTAAAACAGTTTAGATAAACATTTTGAAAAAGTTAAAAAAAAATTAGATCTCGTGATTCTGTTTATGTTTCAGTTTAAACTTAATGTTCAGAAGGAAAAACCTCCAGAAACAAACATACCAGATGTTTAATGGAAGCTAAACATAATCATATTATAACATAAAAATTAAAACACACAGAAAAAGGAGCAACAGATTAGATATGAGGCAATTTTTATTTTATTCAATTCTTGGTCAGTTGTAGATTAATATTTAAAAAAATGAATATTAACTTTACAAGTTATATTGGCTCCTGTAGCACATTTTACTAAATTAAATGTCTTGAATTTAAGCTAATTCTTTGGTTGTTTTTTTTTTTATTTGTCTCTTTAGATTTCTAAATAAAGTTTGTTTTGAAACAGGAAGAAGGTCCTGCTCTCTCTATTATTGATAACATTTAATTGTGTAATTAAAAATAATGATTATTCAAGGCAGACATTGAGCCTCTTTCCCAGTAAAGGCTAAACTGATAGTAACCAAGGCAAGTAATGTCTTCCTGGTTTTCATGCCAACATTTCCATAGATTATTGTTATGACTCATCCATAAACCTACCAAACAGAGTGGTCAGTTATACACAGTCAGACAAGCTGGTGGCGCTCTAACTTCACTAGTAACCATGTTCAGTTGATTTCCTGATTATTGTATTGCAGCAGTCACTGAGCCACAAACCAGAGAAACAGCTTCATTGTTTACAGAGAAACAGAAGAGAAACAGGGTTTTAGTTTCACTTAGCTGGAATTAAAGAAGCCTCATATTAACTCATTAGTCTGATCATTACAGCATTGGTTTTATTAAACAAACAAACAAATAAATAAAGCAGCAAAGTTATTTTATATTAAGCAGGTTCATCTTAATGGCAGGTTTAGATTGATTCTAACTGTAAGGATCAAAATAACTTATAAGATCAGGATAAAATAAGAAGCAGAGGCTTTTAGTCATTGACAAATTAATGCCACATGACTCAGAGGTTTGTCTTTACACAATTTTAAAACAGGTTGCAACATAACACAAAAATGCATCATGGCTGCGAAACACTGACAACATGTAACATCACTTTAGCAGGTAGAATTTCTTCATCTCAGTCTGTAGATGATGAATTACTATTATCAGAATTTAAATGTACTGTTAGACACATACAATCAAATAGGGGATCACTGATGAACAAAACTACCTTGATGTTTTTGTACTGTATGATCTCTTCCTGCATAAGCTATTGCATAACTAGCAGTTCTCCGACAGGTGTTCTATTCCTGAAGCCAATAGAGGGTAATAGAGACAGAGAGTCTGTACAAAAAGCATGTGAAATAATGAATAAAAAACATTTACTTAATATCACCATGGTAATATTATGTCAAAATATAATTTATTAAGCTTTGAAAACTTAAAAATGCCTTTTCTATATAAGCTTACATGGTTTCACTCCAACGCTGCAAAAGAACTACATTAACTATAGGATGACAGCATCATGGATCACCAGGGCCATAAGTAGAACTGATTGTGAGGAACCTGTGAGGAAAAGTGCATCTGGTCAAAATATTATTACCGTACATACAAGGGCTGTAAAGGAACCTCCAAGTTTTACAACTTTTAAGGTCAGCTCAAAATTGTGAGCATATCTTATAAGAACTCAGATTGTCAATTAGGGCATTTAGTACTGAGTCTTTCCTGTGTCAATTCTGCTGTTCTGAGTGACCCTGGTGTACTTATGCTTATGTCATTTGAAATTTAATGTTAACATTAACCTATCCAGGGATTGCAGATGGAAATTAACCAATGGCTACAATCTGGCATATTTACATATAATATCGTTTAGCCATACCTTGGGCTGGCTCTACCTGTGTGATAGCGTTCACATACACTACTACAGGGTTTTAATTTGTTTTGTGGAGGCAATATAGGGAATGTAAGGCTGAAAAGTAGGTATTTTGGTTTTTGGTAAAACTTTATTAATTTTGGACCACTCAAGGTATAGTATTTATAAGTTTTTTTCACTTTTTATGCTAGTGTCTTAAAAACCTCAAGGCTAAACAAAGAGACTTGGAACATCAACTTCTTTGCACTGATTATTACTGAAACATTTCCCCCAGGGCTCTTGTTTGGGTTTATCCCAGGATGATATGGCAATTATATAAGAGCTGTTGATGAAAAATGCAGTTACTGATCTAAGACATTGGGGCAATTCAGAGCTATGTAAAATAAGACAGACAAGGATTGCAATTCAAAATATTAGATACATACATTGATATTGAATAAGATATCCACTTCTTTCCGTAAAATGTATGTCACCTCTCAATTTCAAATTTCTCCCATTTATACTCTACTTGTATAAGAAGCTTTCACAGTGCTTATTATGCTCTTTAAAAAACATGTATTGTGCACTTTTCTATATATAAACACTTATGTCTAACAAATGTTCAATGATGATTTAACAAAAAAGAAGATAACTTAGGGAATTCAATTTTTCTTTTGTTTTAAAAAAAGGGAATTATGTCCACCAAAAGAAATTAGAAGTAGATTCAAAAATACAAATGACATTATTACATTACAAGGAAAGTAAAAATTCAACCAAAGTGTTACATTACTTACCAGGCAAGCAGTTCTCACGCTACAGAAATGTGTTTAAATTAAAGACCATCACTGAAAATCTGCTTAATTATGTAATTTTTATATATACAAAGAAGAAAACAACAATTATAGAACATTTCATATCAACCAAAAATATCCTTTTCTGAAATAAAAATTATTTTACCATTTAGTCCTACCTCCCTATCTTTTTATGTGATATTTTACTTTCTGTTTCATTAGTAACCTTGCTGGTTCATTTTTACCCAGTTTCAAGTGACGTTGACATTAAAGCTGAATTCTCATTGGTTAATGTAAAGGTTATGACTCACGTCAGTTGTGTTTGTTCAATGTTTCAGCCAGTAGTCTGTAGCTGGGGAAAGGAGAACACTTTAGATCACAGAGGACACAAATTTTACCGTGGTTTTGAAAGTCTGCATGAGGAATCATGAAGAAGATGCTGTGTTTCGTGGTTCTGTTGGGAATGACTCTAAATAATGTGACGGGAGGTAAGTTACTGAAACATTGTATAAGATCTATTAACGAAATTCTGAAATCGTTTGACTTATTAAACTGTTTTAATGTGTCTGCGTATGCTATGGTAATTCGATGTTCTCACCAGGAAATACAGATAAAGATAAAAGTTATTATTGGATATTTGTTTCATCATCATGAAAACAGGATTTTGATGAAAATGGACCTATGCCTCGTGACGCTATTGAATATTTTTATTTTTTTAAATAATTTTTGCGCTGCTGTAATTTGCACCATCCCTGTGCATTGACACCCATTGAGCTCTTCATAGAGGCTAATGTAAGTCTCCCGCCATGGTGGTAGGCTGGTTTTGAAGAACATGCAATTATAGTTGACTGTCTGCCTTTAGTTGTGGAGAGGATTTGGTTTTGGAGAAGCAATGTTCCACTGATGAGTTATTGATCTGGGAAAGCCAAATCTATGAATATCTTTCTAGCTAACTAACTGAAACAGATTATCACAGACCTTAAAAAAAGTATTTTAAGGTCTGTTTAAAAAAAAATTCTTAAATGGTAACAAACTGCAATAGTTTTAACTCCTAAATGTCAAATGGTGCTTGAAACAGAATGTTACTATAAATTTTCACATGGGTATTTGACACCAGTATAATGAATAGCAATCTAATATACTTTGATAAAAATCATATGAATTTTCTTTTCAAGGTAACATTTTCCCATTGAGATATATTTTTTAAAACCTAATTAAAATACATATATCCACTGTCTGATGCTGCAGGTATTTATTCTTTTTACTTTATTCTTTTTTTTTTACTGATTCTGACTCCTGTGCAATTTGAGGCTGAGTGAGAAAAAAAAAACAAACAGAGCAGGAAGGCATCCTGACAGAATTTATACCAACTTCATTTACTAAACCTTAGTTCCACTCAACTAAATGTGGAAGTAGCAATGTTTTACCCCTTATGGACAGAGAACCGACTAGATTTCATACTTCATCATTCAGTTAGTAGGTTGTATACAAAACAGATCCCAAATGAACTCAAATGAACAATGAATACAGTTACGTTTAAAATTATGCATGAGCTCAAAAGATCTATTCTAAATGCTTTTTATTCTGTCCAGAAAGTGTAGGAAACAAGATGGGTAAAAAGATCTACTCTTCCTGCAGAAGTTCCGCTAAGTTAGAAGAGAAACAGATTTTTTAATCAATACTGGGAGTTAAAAATAAAAGTTTAGAATTTGTTCTTATCAATTCTGGAAGCCCAACCCTACCCATAAACACTCCTCATCCCTCTTTTAAGTCTGTGCATTGCCAAAGTGAAGTTAGTGGTAAGGTTGGGTGATTGGGCGAATCTTTCGACCAACGACAATAGACTCAGCCCTCCAACTATTTTTTTTTGCACTTCGGCGCAGTATCGGCCGGAAATGCTTGTAACACAAGGCAGTGTGCGTCAACACATCCGCAGCGACATCTACTGGACTGGAAGTTGTATTACACTTGTTTTTGGCTGATGTTTGCCAAACATTCATGCAATTTTATTTATTAATTTTTTTTTATTAATAATCGATACTTGGCGTCAAGAATCGATGCAGTAGATCACGAAAATTAGAATCACAATGCATCATCATTACGATTATTTTGCACACCCCTAATAAATGTACTGTTTATCAGACGATAATGTTCCAAAAGTTAGGAAATTTCTATTTAAGAAAAAAATCCTGTCTTGAAATCTGTGGGGGGGTTTTTCTGTTATCTTATGCAGGCCAGTTAGTAATACGTCAGCCTGAACACCTAAATTCGGCCAATCATATATCAACGGTCATCTGTCAATCAAATGTTTTCGGTCATAGCATCTTGATTCATATGTCGCAGCTAATATATGCAATGGTTGAAATGAGAAATCAGAATCCTTTCCTTTCTCATTGAGTTGCGTCCCAGTGTTCACGGGGATGGACGTCTGTGTCTTCGGCAGGCGTAGAGCTAACAGAACTGGCAGCATTGCAAGGCAAGGGTAACTAAGATTGCTACTTGGTCCCAATGGAATTTCCTATTGGGAACCTACTAGCACTAAGTTGTTAACTGGTTAGCAAGATGCAAAATCGATTCGATTTTGATTAATACAGTTCAAAATTGATACATTTTTATTTAATCTGTTTTTACAATAATGAAAGTGGCTCAACTGTGTTTCAAAATACTCCTGTATTTTATTTTTTTCCTGTCATATTAACCACAATGTGCAAACTTGTAAATTGGACAGTTTAAACTTGAGATGTGAACAAAACTGTCTCAAAAGTGCAAACTTGTTTGTGAAAAGTGAAGCCTCACTTGAGCAAGCAGACATGACGCGGCAGACATGCATGAGCTGCATTATCTCCACGGTACAAACCATATTTGCAGCGTTGTCTGTAACAACTACAGGGTGTTTGCTGGTCAGCCCCCATTTGTTAGTGTCTTCAGTCAACCTATTTGCTATATTTGCGGCTGTCTGGCTTGAAGTCATCTTGAGTGCATCTTTCCTGCTCATTTGAATGTGAACGTCACGCGTGTCATTATAAAACAAATCGATCTCATTTCCTAGACATTGATTTTGCAAAAATGTAAAGGAATCGATTTTATTTACCCAGTCCTAAGTATCTGTTTACTGTTTGCACTCTAGGTAGATCTGATTAGATTGAACTGCGTGAATGAGATCCTTTTTGCTTAGTGGATCACATGCAGCAATAAATTGTGAGTAATAAACTTTGCTAAAGTCAGTTTACCTGTGCTCTTAGCTTTAGTGTGGTTTGAGGGATCAAAGGGTTCGGGTTTTTAAGCCCAATGAGATTATTCTTGGAGCTGATATGGTATTTTTTTTCCTCCATTTACATGTTAAAAATTAAATAATGATAATACATTTTACATACCTCTCAGTTTAAAAAACAAAACAAATGGTTATTAACAAATTAAAACAAACATCGACAATGGAAAGCAGGAATGCATTCCTTTCAGCTAATCTCAAGGCATCGCTGCTAAATGTCTGCTAATGATGCACGCATCGATGGCGCCAATGTATCTTTCTGTCTCTGCTACACATTAAAACCCATTAATGGCTATTTGAGAGACACCAGTGTAGAGGGTTGAGTTTCAAGATAAAAGCCTTAGATTAAGATTAAGGTAAGGTTAAATCTTGATGGTTGGCATCAGAGGAGTTTATGCTCTGCCCATGGCTGTACAGTAAAACCCAAACATTAATTTTTGGCCTTTAACAAGGTTAAGGAAAGATAGTTTTATCTTGTGGAGTAGTGGAAACGGACACAAATAAGGTAGGTTCAAAGCCTTCTTTACTCCATGTGAGAGCAATCGTACAGCAGAACACATGAATATACACTACCGAAGAAGACATAGGTTCCAACTTCTCCGCTGAGTGAGAGTGGAGCCTAGTGGTCTGCCACAATCTTGTAAATTTGAACTGAATTTAAACTACAATAAAATGCCCAAATTGGTCGCATTCACTTTTCAGTGTAAGTTACACATTTGGTTTTAGCGTCATTTTTGATGTAATGAAACGCATCTCTGCCTTAATGAAATGAAAAGTTATGAAATATTTTATAATTCAGTGATGCAGACTCCTTATTTCATAACTATTACTGACTGAAAGAGGTGGTGATTTTTGTCTGCGTAAATTGACTGCTTTCAAATACAAATGCGCTATTCGAATTTAACCAGTTTGTTTTAAAAAAGTCTAAATGTAGAGCAAAGCGTTAATCAATGCACTGAATGCAGAAATACAAATCAGACAGAATATCACTGCTGAAAAGAAAACATAAACATGTCCTTCTATCTATTAAAACATCATTTAGATCCTGTTTGTCGGTGCACATCACAACATTAACTCCCAGATTTCACATCCTCCATCCTGGTTCAGTCGGTTCTGTTCACTGCCTCTGTGAGTCTGTGTAAATCAAAGCCTGTTGCATCTGCAGGCAACCTTTTCTCAAAGTTCTTTGAAGGCCAAAGTGAGCATGCAGGAGAGGTCCTGCCAGAGCCAGGAGGACTGGAGCAGAACAGATAGTGGAAGACAAAGAGTGTGTCAGTGGACAGATGTCCAGTAGTCACAGGGAATGTGGAAGCATTTAATTCATATATATATATATATGGTTCGGTTCGCGTGTGGTGCGTTCGGTTCATGCACTGCTCCTTTTTCTCATAGGCGAAGCGTTTACACTCCAGAGCAGAAGGTCGCGCTACTGCGACCAAAGCCAACCACCAGTAGTAAACAAGAAGAAGAAGAAGCGAAGCAGCTTAGCCGGGTGTAGCAGAAAAAAATCAGTTGTTGTGTCGGAATGGCGAGTGGGAAAGAACAGGAGTTGGAAGACGCACCAGCAGCACTTTATAGGTCTGCTGTATGGGACCACTTTACATTTAGAGTGACCTACGATGACGGCGGAAAGAAAGTTGTGGATAAAAGTGCAACAGTGTGCAAGCATTGTGCAACACGTTTTGTTTATGCTAACAGCAACATGACCAACACGTCATGCTAACCCTGAAATCCCACATACTCCATCAGCGCTCCGCTCCGCTCCGCTCTGAGTTCCTTGGAGATCGTAGAGGGCATGCGTGAGATGATTAAATTCAAAGCAGCAAAACATACGGAAATGATTCATTAATTTTTTGGGATTTTTTCCTTTATTTCATAAATGTTTATTTTTTCATTAATTTGTATAAATTTTTTTATTTTTCGGTGTAACAATAAACATATACCGAACCGAAAGCACTGCTGCCTTGCAGCAAAAAGGTTACGGGTTCGATTCTCCGTAAGCATGTGTGGGTTCTCTCCGGGTACTCCGGCTTCCTCCCACAGTCCAAAAACATGACTGTTAGGTTAATTGGCTTCTCTAAATTTAAGTGTGTGCATGAATGCTTGTTTGTCTCTGTGTTGCCATGTGATGGACTGGCGCCCTGTCCAGGATGTACCCCACCTCTCATCCATAGCTGGAGATAGGCACCAGGACCCCTCGCGACCCTACTCGGGACAAGCGTGTCAGATAATGGATGGATTTATAAACATTATTTGAATACCCGCCATTCTACATGTTACTGAAGCCATCTGTAAACACTATTATCCAACAGATTCACTGCTAAAGCCGGGAGACAAATACAGTCAGAAACTTAATCACCTTAAAAAGACTAACCGGATTTATTTGACCATCCCATTTCTTTGCTGTATATAAAACTTTTTTCTTTTCTCATATCAACACTTTTTATAGAGATCTTTATATCTTTATATGACAGTTGACACATATGGTGGCATCTTTTTTTAGTCCCCTTTCAAAGTTTGAAAGTCACATGACAATGTTTTAAAAATCCTTGTTTTCAAGTCATAATATACCTACATGATAAAATGTGTTGATTTTCTGTTAGACTTTTGCGTTTTAGTTGGATTTTGAATATACCCAATAACATTTACATAAAAAAAAAAATCCTATTTTCACATTTAAGTTTTGCTTCCTTCATGTTAGAAAAAAAGAGTAGAACAACGTATTATACACTAAGTAAACCACTACTGAACTGTGGTATGAACTTTACTAGTAATAGTTACTAATCAAAAAAGTAACAGTAACTCACTTACTGCTCTATAAATGTAAGTAGTTACTAGCCTAAATATTATGTTATATTTCATGTTTTAAACTTTAAGGATTTTGAAAACTTTCTTGTTATGGCCAATTAACCTAGGAGTCATGTCTTTGGAATGTGGGAAGAAGCAGGAGTACCCTGTGAGAACCCACGCCTGCATGGGGAGAACATGCAAACTCTATGCAGAAAGACCTTTGGCCGGGAATCAAACCCGAGCCCTTATTGCTGCAAGGCAGCAGCGCCATCCTCTTCCACCATGCAGCCATTTTGTTGCTAATCAATTAAATAATTTATTAACAGTCTAAAAAAATCTTTACTCTTTACATATTGAAAGCAAGATAGACTTCTGGGCTCAGGGCTCTGATGTTCAGCATCTCTTTACATTTTATAATGTAAAAAAATCAGATATGTCTTCAAAGAAGTAAGACAGGTTGGACAGAAAAAGTAGCATCCCATAGAGAAACAAAGTGCTTCTGGAATTACAGAACGAGAACATTTATATTTTTCTTTTGTCTGTGACGGTGATTTTTGTCTTTTTAAAATTTTGAAGGAAAATATATTAAAATGTGTAATTTTTTTCTTGAATGTTTTGGACACATTTAAGAATTATTTTAATTTAAACTTTATATCAGGCTACACATACTGTACAACATAATGTCAAGTAATAGTTTTCATTTTTTCCTAACACTAAAATCCGTCAGATTCTGTACTGACCCTTTTGTCTTGAGAGTCAGCCTGTTGTAGGCCAGTACGACCCCAAAACATTATTTATATCTTTTGCTGTTTAAAATACTCTCACTTTGTTTATTTAAAGCTTTGCAGGATTCAACTTTGCTTAAATTATCACAATATATTACTGATCTAAATTATTAAAAAGTTGTGATTAGACGATATTATTCAGGGTGGTCACTAGCTGCAGCTTAGTATTTATTATTAGTGTGTATCTGTGAATACCTGGAACAAAATCCTGTGGTATGTATGTATTGGTATGATTGTGTACAAATTAGTCACAGAGCTTACATTTTTTCGATTGTCTAATGATTTTAATAGGTGATGACAGAGTAATATACTTAATCTTGTATATTTTATGTATTTGTGTGAATCAAATTGTTTAATGTGAGAATAACAGCCCATTTTTTCCCTAACAGTTACTCATTCCCTGAAATATTTCTACACGGCCTCATCTGGTCTGAAAACCTTTCCAGAGTTTGTGACTGTTGGGATGGTGGATGATCAGCCAATCTCCTACTATGATAGTGTGATTAGAAAGGAGACTCCAAAACAGGACTGGATGGCAGAGACTGAAGGTCCTGAGTACTGGGAAAGTAACACTCAGGTATCCATTGGTATTGAGCAAACCTTCAAAGCCAGCATTGACATTATTAAACAGCGCTTCAACCAGACCGGAGGTGAGTTAAGAAGAATATCCCCATTTCTAGCTGAACAATCAAGCTGTGATCAGTTAGTTTATCTCTCCTTATGTGTGCACACACACACACATATGCACACATGCATGTTATGTCCGACTAACCTTAAGGGGGCTTTCCCTTGACTTCCATTTAATTCTAACCCAGACCCTTACCCTAATCATTACCAATTTACCTATCTCTAACCAAAACTCATTTCACGTCTTACTCCTAAACCTAACACCCAACACAGGAAGAACTTTTCATTATAAGTACCTTTAAGACCCGACAAAGTAGCATATACCTGGGAGAACTGATCATATGCTGTCCCCACCATGTTAACAAATACATGGCTGTACATAGATACACCTATGCACACTCAGAAAAAGAAAATGAATGGCCTATGTTAAATTTTTTATCCTTATTTGTTTGATGTAACATTTTAAATTAATTTTAACTTTTGCTCTTTTCTTTTTAGAAAAATAGGGAGGAAATAACAGGTCAGGGTTATTTCCTCTAACTATTTTGTTCTAGAAAAAGAAGTCTATATCAAATTTTGATATGAAATTTTTTTGTGTGAGAAATACATTAAACTGGAGTAATCAGCTTTATGAAATGCTGCTGGTTAGGTCTAGAAGATTAAAAAACATTGGACCTTTCTGTACATTTGAACTTCTTTTACTGCAGATTACATTTTGATCAAATAAAATAATAATTTAGTATAACTCACTAAGTAACTGATATGTATGACGTAACAGATCTAATGGTTTATAATAAATAAATAAAATCTAAAACATTCAAGAAGCATTTAATAAATCGAAGTAAATCCTAAAAAACTTGTTGGGAGGTGATGGCCTAGTAGTCAGAGCAGTGCCATTGTGCTCTGAGAAGGTTGCAAGTACCTGGCTTGAATCCCACTGCCTCCAGTCTGGGTTCCTGAGCAAGACTTTTAACCCAACACTGCTCCCTGGGCGCCACACAATTGCAGCCCCCTGGCATGGGCCAAATGCAGAGGTAGAATTCTCCAGTGTAAGTTCAATAAAGTTTAATTATTATTAAAATATAAATTTTCTCTAGAGGCGCATTTATAATTGTTATTGATCACTAACAGTCATATATAAAATTTGTATCAAACCTTAGAAACACACAGGGCCGGATCTATCAAAGGTTTGCGTGTATTAAAACGTGAGCTATTTCACTACGCACGCTAAAAAATGTACAAACTGATCTATCAACAGCGTGCTAAAAGGATTTGGTCTTTAAAACGTGCTAAATAGCGCCTCT